CCCCAGCCCCTGCCTCGTCCTGGCACTGCCCCTCGGGGGGCCACGCGCCCCGACCGGCAATGCAGGCAGACAGACCCCAGCCCCCCCAGCTTCCACTAGATGACACCCCCATGGGGGCACTGGGGAGCCAGGTCGCCCGGGCCCTCCTCCCACCTCTGGGAGAAGAGGGGTACAGTGGTGCAAGTGGAGGGGGCTGAGGCCCAGGACCCCTGGGTCCAGGCCGGTCCTGGATCCAACAGGCCCAGGGGTGCTCAATGAGGCCAAGCAGCTTGACGCACTCCCTGGGTGCTGCATCAGGGGAGCGAGTGACTCACCCCAATTCAATGTAAACAAGGATGTGGGTTGGGGGGGGCCTGGCCAGCAGCTCCCGGCAGTCACGTGAGCAGCTGGGGGGTTCCCAGCAGGACCCCTGGGTCCAGGCCGGTCCTGGATCCAACAGGCCCAGGGGTGCTCAATGAGGCCAAGCAGCTTGACGCACTCCCTGGGTGCTGCATCAGGGGAGCGAGTGACTCACCCCAATTCAATGTAAACAAGGATGTGGGTTGGGGGGGGCCTGGCCAGCAGCTCCCGGCAGTCACGTGAGCAGCTGGGGGGTTCCCAGAAGCCTGGGGGCCGGGCCGCTATTTATACCCCCGCTCTGCACAAACCCGCACGCCTGGGTGCGAGGGGGCAGAAGAAAACAGGAAGCAACAGGCCACAGCCCTTCCCCCCATGCACACACTGCCCCCCCACTGGGGGCGGGGCCAGAGAAAGGGCAACTGAGGCAAACAGCCGCCAGATGGGAGGGGGAAGCCAAGAGCAGGACTCAGGAGTCTGGGCTCCCGGCTCCCCACCCGATGCACGACACGCACCCCTCCCGTCCAGGAGGGCCGGGGCCAGGGGCCATCCCTGGCTCTGGGGGGTGTGGGATGTAGCCGCACAGCGCCCGCTACTACCCGGACCCAGCGCGCCCGGGCGCTACCGTAACGCACCTAATAGACCCCGCACAGCGCCCGCTACTACCCGGACCCAGCGCGCCCGGGCGCTACCGTAACGCACCTAATAGACCCCGCACAGCGCCCGCTACTACCCGGACCCAGCGCGCCCGGGCGCTACCGTAACGCACCTAATAGACCCCGCACAGCGCCCGCTACTACCCGGACCCAGCGCGCCCGGGCGCTACCGTAACGCACCTAATAGACCCCGCACAGCGCCCGCTACTACCCGGACCCAGCGCGCCCGGGCGCTACCGTAACGCACCTAATAGACCCCGCACAGCGCCCGCTACTACCCGGACCCAGCGCGCCCGGGCGCTACCGTAACGCACCTAATAGACCCCGCACAGCGCCCGCTACTACCCGGACCCAGCGCGCCCGGGCGCTACCGTAACGCACCTAATAGACCCCGCACAGCGCCCGCTACTACCCGGACCCAGCGCGCCCGGGCGCTACCGTAACGCACCTAATAGACCCCGCACAGCGCCCGCTACTACCCGGACCCAGCGCGCCCGGGCGCTACCGTAACGCACCTAATAGACCCCGCACAGCGCCCGCTACTACCCGGACCCAGCGCGCCCGGGCGCTACCGTAACGCACCTAATAGACCCCGCACAGCGCCCGCTACTACCCGGACCCAGCGCGCCCGGGCGCTACCGTAACGCACCTAATAGACCCCGCACAGCGCCCGCTACTACCCGGACCCAGCGCGCCCGGGCGCTACCGTAACGCACCTAATAGACCCCGCACAGCGCCCGCTACTACCCGGACCCAGCGCGCCCGGGCGCTACCGTAACGCACCTAATAGACCCCGCACAGCGCCCGCTACTACCCGGACCCAGCGCGCCCGGGCGCTACCGTAACGCACCTAATAGACCCCGCACAGCGCCCGCTACTACCCGGACCCAGCGCGCCCGGGCGCTACCGTAACGCACCTAATAGACCCCGCACAGCGCCCGCTACTACCCGGACCCAGCGCGCCCGGGCGCTACCGTAACGCACCTAATAGACCCCGCACAGCGCCCGCTACTACCCGGACCCAGCGCGCCCGGGCGCTACCGTAACGCACCTAATAGACCCCGCACAGCGCCCGCTACTACCCGGACCCAGCGCGCCCGGGCGCTACCGTAACGCACCTAATAGACCCCGCACAGCGCCCGCTACTACCCGGACCCAGCGCGCCCGGGCGCTACCGTAACGCACCTAATAGACCCCGCACAGCGCCCGCTACTACCCGGACCCAGCGCGCCCGGGCGCTACCGTAACGCACCTAATAGACCCCGCACAGCGCCCGCTACTACCCGGACCCAGCGCGCCCGGGCGCTACCGTAACGCACCTAATAGACCCCGCACAGCGCCCGCTACTACCCGGACCCAGCGCGCCCGGGCGCTACCGTAACGCACCTAATAGACCCCGCACAGCGCCCGCTACTACCCGGACCCAGCGCGCCCGGGCGCTACCGTAACGCACCTAATAGACCCCGCACAGCGCCCGCTACTACCCGGACCCAGCGCGCCCGGGCGCTACCGTAACGCACCTAATAGACCCCGCACAGCGCCCGCTACTACCCGGACCCAGCGCGCCCGGGCGCTACCGTAACGCACCTAATAGACCCCGCACAGCGCCCGCTACTACCCGGACCCAGCGCGCCCGAGCGCTACCGTAACGCACCTAATACACCCCGCGCAGCGCCCGTCACCACGGTATGCAGCAGAACTGGATTCTGCTGTATTGCATTGAACAGACCATGGGCAGCGCGTGGCACTGCTGAGACCAGCCACGGCCCCAGGGCTTCGACAAGTGCCAGCTGCAATGGGGGGCTCCTGTCCCGAGATCAGGGCCCCCATCGTGCTGGTGTCACACGCTCTGCCCATCTCCCAGCTGAGCCCTCGCTCTCGCTGCGGCAATGGACAGGTGGGATCAGGGGCCCGCATGGAGCCCTGCTCCGCCAGGCATGGGGGCGCCGCGCAGACGCACAGCGGGAAGCAGCTCTGGCCCTGCAGAAATGGCGGCACCGAGGGCAGGGCAGCAGTTTGCCCGCGGCCTCCCAGCTGGTCTGGGAATAGAACCCAGGCATCCGAGGGCTGGTGATGTCATCACGTCACCTGATCCTGCCACGCCAATCAAAACACGGTCTCCCGCTCAGATCTCAGCTCCTGGCCCTGTTGAGCAACTTTAAATTCCCCCTCCCGAAATTCATGATGCCCCTCCCCCGACGTCAGCAACAATCACTGTGCGGATTCATTTCCGCCCCCGACCGCTCAGACCTGCAGAGCCATACGGGGCGGGGGTCAGCCCAGGCGGGCGAGTGGGGAATATACAAATGCTCCCGGGGCCGCAGCAAACAGGGAGGGGACACCCAAAAGGATCGCAGGGGTTAATGCAGCCACCTCTGGGGCACAGCAGCTGAGGAACCGCCACACGGAACGGCACATCGGGACGGCTCTCCTGGCACTGAGATGCAGCCAGCTCTGGAGCAGGGCAGCTGGGCACCAGTTCTACCTCCCAAGACAACACTCCTGGGAGAAGTGGGACATGGCGAGAGCTAGGACCCCTGGGCTCTCTCGCCAGCTCGGGGGGAGCAGTGAGGCCTAGTGGTTAGAGTCGGGAGGGGGGTTAGCTGCAGCACCCACTATTCTTAGCAGCCAATTGCCCCCGGGGCCGGGGAAGAGGAACGTCAGTGAGGCGAGGGCAGGCCCATGGAGCGCAACACTTCTGCCCCAGCGCCGAGGGGACGCTCCCCCGGCCGCTGGCTCCCCCGCATCCCAGGAGAGCGCTCGGGGTCCAGCCACAGCAGGCGCAGCTGGGGGGGCCCTTCT